CAAGCTGGAACCAGTCTTGTATAACCTTAGGATCCTCACAGAGAGCTCTCTTGTAATCATACTTTCGATTGAACTTAATTGTAAGCTCTGGCTGGTGTTTGACAAAGGTTGCAGCCCAATTCTAGCCGACTGGGTCTCGGTGCCATGCAGCCAGCAAGGAATTAGCCATATCTTTGACAGCAGCAAGCCGGGAAGGAAATCCTCACATGTCAAGATCAAGGATATGCTGAACGATCACCTCTTCTTCCATCTTTAGTAGCTTCATTGAGTTAGGCATACAGTCACGTCGAAAGATCGCTCCAGCACATCGGTCTCATAGTGTTGTTCGAGAGACACTGTAGATCTGTGTAGCACATCATTCAGAGATATTCGTGTCTTGCTTAATAGCCTGGATCACAAGCTGTACATGAGCTTCTTTTGAAGAAGGTAGATTATTGTATTGTGGAGGCATCACGAATATACTGTAGTTGACAGTACAATTTGGTGGGATCCTGGCATAGTGGATGGCTCGCCCATATGGACAGCTCACCCATGAGGTATATTAATATCTAATTGATAGTTCCTGTATGTTAATTTACTCTTTAGCTTTACTAAACTTATGTGCTACATACCTTACTTTCCTATTTTTATATATATACATAAAACATTGACTATATTATCTAAGTATTAATTTTTGCAAAGACCTGACAACATAGAAATTTCTAACAGAATAGAAGCTCTAACAGAGGGAGTCTCCCTAACATGCTGTTAGATGTTTAACATGCTTATAATAGCTGTAATATGTTCCACAGGTGAGCGCTACATATGGGTGAGCATCGCACCCTACCAACTTTGCCCACCTGTTCAAACATGCAATCCAACCACCTTATAGAATAATAGATAAATATTAATAGAGTAGATCAAGTAGTATCTTAAGTATCTTTTTTATATGTATGTAAGTTATGCTCAGGCTCTCTATACCTTGTGCAGCGTGCCAGAGCCTGGCGGCTGAGATCTGATTGCCCACTACCTTGATGCTGTTCATGAGCAATCTGCTCCTCAACCTCTTGTTGAGCTAGTATATCCTCTCCTGCTCCCTTTGTTAAGTCTCCATGCTTCTAGATCTACTTCTTCTTGCGCTGCCTCCACTTTATAGCTGCCTTATTGGCTCTCTCAAGGCTAGCAATTCGATCATGCATCAGCTCAGCTGAGAGCATCATCACTTCAGCCCCCTTCTTGAGTTGATTAATCACCTCAATAATTGAGGCTGATGATAAGCTCTTATGCTACCGAACATGATCACATATTAGTATTGATTGAGCCTCAAGCTCACGTACGTTGCTTGGTATTCGAGCCTCCCAGAGAGCCTCTACTAGAGCAGCTGGAGGAGTAAGCATACGGAGCTGCACATCTAGCTTTGACAGAACAATATCTGGCTGGAGAGGAACTAGGCCTATACCTCGAAAGGCTGAGCAGATGTTGGCTGACGTAAACGATTGATCAAAGGCTGCCTTGAAGGCTGACAGAAACTCAAGCTTCGTGATGTGGTTGATATGGTTGTGGATCAGAGCCTCAATCTCATGGCTGTATGCATGCTTCTGTCAGATGGTAAGCCAGTTTATGGATATCCTATCTGGGACTGGAGAGGAGGACTGGGAGAAACTATCTGTACCGGTACTGTCTGAGGACATGTGGCTAGTGATTCTGCAGTGGCTAGTGCCCTGTGCAGCCTTGGTGCCCAGAGAAGGAACAT